TGGGCATCTAGGTTGCTTCCATGTCCTGGCTATTATAAACAGTGCTGCGGTGAACATTGGGGTGCACGTGTCTCTTTCAGATCTGGTTTCCTCGGTGTGTATGCCCAGGAGTGGGATTGCTGGGTCATATGGCAGTTCTATGTCCCTGACTGATGCATTATTATGTACACATTTATGGTATATGTCTACACATATACACATAGCTAGTATACTAGTATCTCAGCATATTTGAATACTTTAATTCTTTCTAGGTGAAAGACTTTACAAAATATCTTTTTTTCTACTGCTTAGCAAAAAGGTGACAGTTATGCTTGTTTACCCTATTTGACTGATTAAAAATAACAATTTTTGCTGAAAGAAAAAAAGAGACTCTTAATACCATGCTGTTGTAAAAATTGAGGGGATCTAGCAGTGTCTTCTTGGGCCGTCTCTAAGCTCTGCTACTTTGGAGTTAGTTTCACTTTCAGGCTCCCCTTGGGAGGATAGTGACCTGGCAGCTTGACTGTGGTAGGCAGTGCCAGAGGCTAGCAGTGGAAGAGGGCTTAGGGCAGTATTCTGAGATTGCATTTCATTGGCTGACTTGATCACATGTCTATCCTTGAACCAATCACTGTGGTAAAATGGAATGCAGTGTACTGATTGGACGGCATAAGTTATCTACCTGCTTTTAGACATGGTGGTGGGATCAGCCCCATTATAGCTTGGGGGCTGGGAATGAGAGTGGGTTGGCTCCTCTGAAGAAGCCAATGGGAGGGCAATAATTCTAGCCTTTAGGAGGAAATTCTTCACTGGAAAAGTGCCTCACAAATAACAGGCACTCCGTAAATGATGCTTGAACGAATGAATGGAGAATAAGCTGACTCCCACCAGCCCAGTGTAGTAAGCACCCAGCTGGGAGTAGGAACACTGTAGCTCCCAATCCTGGGTGGATCCTGGTATCTCTCTGAGCTTCAGTCTGCTCATCTGGGAAATGGGCATGGTGGCTGACACCGCATTCCTGGGCAGATTAAGTCCTGGCATCTCTAGTCCTCCGCAGCTACCAAGCACTCTGACAGTGAGTGGTTGCTATTGGCTGTGGTTGAGGTTTATCTTTAGCAAAGGGAGGTGGCGCAGGGAACACTGGACCCGTGCCAGGACAGGCATGCTGAGAAGTGATGTAGAGCTCAGGCTCTCTGAAATAGGCAGGCTGGATTTGGATTCACCCTTCACCCTCCCATGTGCTATGTGACCTGAGGCATTCACTGTGACTCTGAGTCTGTTTCCTCATCTGTGAACTGGGAATGCTGGTGTTTGTCTCTAAGGGTTGTGTTGAGGATGAAGTGAGAAATTCTGCTTAAGACCTGTCCCAGCATGTAGTGAGTGCTCAGACAGTGTTAACTGTTTTATAATCAGCGATTATTTCTTTCTCTGTGGCTTTCAGGTGATAAATTGCTGCTGTCACCTACACTGGCACTTGCCATCTACCTCTCCAAGAATTAGATTATGAGCTGCTGACCTTCAACACCCCCTGAAGGGAGTTCAGAGTGGAGATCAGAAACAAGGCACTCTGTGCACTGGGAGAAACTGGCAGAACAGGTCTTCAGGTAGTTGTTTTCAGGATACAATTTTATGAGTAGTCTTGCATCTTCTCATATCTAGAAAAGCACTAAAATCCTTTATAGTGACATCAGTTTTTCATGACTAGCAGACATCTTCTGCAAGAAATATGTGCTTGATTGCACATACTCCTCTTTGACCAAAATCACATACATACTGACTTTCCCCCTGCCTCTTTGGAGCAGTCTTTCAGAGCTGTCTGAAATGATGTCTCCTGGGCTATAGTCCTCATTTTGCCCCAAATAAAACTTAACTCACAACTCTCACATGCATTTTTTTCAGTTAACACTGCCTTAACCAGGCTTTTAGAGAATTTGATGTGGCCAGGTCACTTCATGTGCCATGATTGCTGCCAGCCCCTCTCTGGCAGGCTCTGGGTCCCTGTGAACTCAGAGAGAGGTGCCGGGGCGGACGTTCCTCAGTACTGATGTTGGCACCCCGCCTGAGGCTGGACCCTGTGGTCAGTGCTGCCTTTCAGGATGGAGGGCAAGGCAGGTTTAATGCTCCCGGAAAACAGCCCCTGCCCGGTCCTCTTCTACCTGCAGGAGAGGAGTCCTTTAAAGGACACTCAGGAGAAGGTGACTGTGGCCTCCTTCACCAGCTCTCGGGAGTGGAAGACGGACAGGTGCAGGCAGCCTTTGCCAGCTTAGCCGCCCCTCGCTGCTGTGGCGGGAGACTCGGGGGCGTGGGCGCAGTGCTTGCTCGGCCGCCCAGCTCTGGCCGCGGCTACTTGCTAAGCCCTCTCCTGTCTTTTCTGTAAGTGAGCAGAGTGGGCCTTAACTTTGCCTCTGGATCTGGACAGGAGGAGGAGCGTGAGTGCTGGACTGTGAAAGGATGCTTTGATGGTCTTCTAGTGGCACAGGAAAAATCAGTTTTACAAGAAAAGAAAGGGCAGGTACATTATCAGTTAAGTGTGTGTGTGTGAGAGAGAGCGAGCGCCTGATTGCTTAATTGATGAATTTCTAAGGCGTTCCAAGCAAGTTTTCAAAACTGGGTTCGGGGGGAGGCCCTGACCCAGGCGGGCCCGGTGAGCATGGTGTCTGGGATAGGCGGTGGCCTCAGGGAATGGCCCCACACGAAAGTCTGTTGCTTGAACTGAGCTGCTGGGCCAGATGTGGAAAGTTCCCTAGACCGCGTGGCCACCAGCAGTGCGGAGCTGGGAGCAGGGCTGCCTGTGTTCCCGTTCAGCCGCGTCACCCGAGCTGCTGGGGCTCTGCACCGTCTCCTCATCCGAGGTAACAGCGGCACATGCCTGGCAGGGTGGTTGGGGAGATAAACGAGTACCACGTGTCGAAGTGTCGACAAGCGTCCCGTGTGGAGTGGGCCCTTGAGAAATGCGAAAGCGTTACTGTCACTGTGGAACCTGCAGGCTTCGTGGCTCAGTTAATGGAAATGTTTATTTTCTGAGAATGAATTTACAAATGAGCGTACAAGTTGCCTTTTGGCATCACAGCCTTCCAGAAGGCTCCCTGGCAGGCGTGGCGCCTGCTCCCAGTTTCCACGCCCACCCCCGTAGGCACACTGTCTCCGCTGCGGGCAGAGCTGGGTCTCCCCAGCTGGCCGCTCAGCTCGCTGGGGCCGGGGTGGGGGTGGATGGGTCTGCATCACCGGTACCGCGGGCGGGGCATCTGGTCTCAGAGGCTCCTGAGTTCTGGGGGTGACGGGGGACCTTGGAGAGGAGTGTCCTGTGCCAGAATGCTGAAGGTAAGAGGACCCAGGTTCAGATTCTGGGCAGCCTCTCTGGTTCCAGCCTTGTCCCTCTCTCTAGTCTGTAGAAGGGTTACCGTGTGAGGTGCGGTGAACGCGCGTTGTCCTCCGCAGGGTGCTGGGTGGCGCAGCCATCAGCATGCCCGTCGGCTCAGGGGCTGTTCTGTTAGGCACGTGCCGTGTGGTGCTGTCCTCGGAGTAGCATCGAGGTGGTGAAGTCTAGGGTGGCTCGGTTTTCATGCGCTTTCCACCAGACTGCTGTTCCAAGGCTGCAGATGAGCAGCTGGCCTTCAGGCCCGTGTTGTAGGAAGGTGTGCTCTCTTTAACCTGGGGACTCCCTTTCCCCTGCCCAGCGGCACAGTGGGTGGGTGCTCCCAGATATGCGCCCCCCACCCCAGGGCTTCCCCGGGACCGGCTGGGCTCTGCCCCTTCTCCTGGGCACTAGCTCATTGTGGGTGAAATCGCTTGCACTGCTTACACAGTTATTTCTCTCTCACTCACTCTCAGTTTTAATTGTGGTTAAATATGCAGAGCATAAAATAGACTGTTTTAGCAAGTACTAACCGTACAATTCAGTGGTATTAGGTATGTTCACAGTGTTTGTTCCGTCTTCCCCTCTATCCATTTCTAGAACTTTTGCCTCATCCCAAAGAGAAACTCTGTACCCACTAAACACTTAACTCTTCATTCCTGCTGGTAACCAGCCCCTGGCAGCCTCTATTCTACTTTCTTTCTCTATGAAAGTAGTTTATTGACTATTCTAGGTACCTCATTTATGTGGAATATGTGATATTTGTCCTTTTGTGACTGTATTATTTCTTACTTAGCATAATGTCCTCCAGATTCATCCATGAATCATCATTCATCATTCATCTAGCTTGTGCCAGAATTTCCTTCCTTTTTAAGACTAAATAGTACTCCACTGAATGTGTAAATCATCCTTCCAGGAAGACTGGTTCCAGGACAACCCCACAGATACCAAAATCCATGGGTGTTCAAGTCTGTTATATCAATGGCGTAGCATTTCCATATAAGCTGTGCATGTTCTCCTGTATACTTTAAACATCTGTAGATTACATTTGATACTGAAGTCTATGTAAATGATATGTAAATAGTTGTAAATATAATGTAGATAATATGTAAATAGTTGCCAGGCACGTGACAGATTCCAGCTTTGCTTTTTGGAACTTTCTGATTTTTTTTCCTGAATATTTTTGATCTTCAGTTGGTTGAATCTGAGGATGTGGAACTTAGGATACAGGAGGACTGACTGTACCCTATTTCATTACTTCATTCATCTGCTGATGGACACTCAGGCTGTTTCCACCATTTGGCTCTTGTGAATAGCACTGCTATGAATATTGGTGTACAGAGACTGCTCAAATTCCTGCTTGCAGGTCTTTTGCAAATATGCCTAGGAGTGGAACTGCTGGGCCGTATGGTAGTTCTATGTTTAACCTTTTGAGAAACTGCCAAGCTCTTTTTCACAGCAGCTGTACTGCTTTTCTGCCCACTAGCAATGCACAGAGGTACCAGTTTTTCCACATCTTCAACACTTATTTTCTGTTTTTAGAGAATTATATCTATCTTTGTAGATGTGAAATCCTCTCACTCTCTTTTTCATCAAATAAGAAACCGTTGTTAGGACCAGGTGAAGTGCATCTACGAAAAACTCTTTTAATTTTGCTTTTAATATATGTGACATAATGCAAATAAATGCTCGAAACATTCTTTTAACATTTTAAAGCAATACAGGGAGAGTAAAAGTGTCCTTTGTCTCTGTCCCCGTTTCAGGCTCCTCCCCAGCCTGTTGTGAGGCAGTATCTTTCCAGAGTTTTTCATGCATTTACATTTCATGTGTGAGCATTTATGAAAAAGTAGTTTTCCATTTTTTTTAATATAAAAAGCATGATACCACTTTTTCTTTTTCAGTGACTTGGGTCTTTTACAGAACATCCAGGAGTCTTTCCAGGCTGTTTGTAGATCTATGCTGTTCTTGCATTTTTATTTATCCCATAGTACAGGTGTCTTGTACTTAAAATTTTTGTTACTAACCACAGACCATTGTTTGTCTCACATGCCCCACTGTGCTGACATCATGAGCGAGCGCTGGCCATTGTTCAGAACAGCGGACCTTCTGCTGCAGCCCCTTATTTGCATCTGGACATCCGGCCTGTGTTTCCCCCCGACTCGGGCCTCTCTGAGCTAGCCCCAGGGGTCGGCTTCCTGCCGACCATGCCTGCTGACCTTCCATGTTTCCGCTTTTCAGGCCAAGAACAAGGAGACGGGTGCCTTGGCTGCGGCCAAAGTAATTGAGACCAATAGCGAGGAGGAACTGGAGGACTATATCGTGGAGATCGAGATCCTGGCCACCTGTGACCACCCCTACATCGTGAAGCTCCTGGGCGCCTACTACTATGACGGGAAGCTGTGGGTAAGCGTGCCTCCGCCTGCCTCCCCCAGCTCCCATGGTGATACCACCAGACCCTGCCCAGTTCTGAGGGCCTCAGCTCTTCCTCCGCTTCTGCTTTGAGGGCAGGGGCTGGAGTGCCCTCCCCTTTCTGCAGAGCCTCTCCACTTTGGGGCCGAGTGTGGTGGTGTGGAGCCGAAAGGAGTCCAGAAGCCCCACTGCCAGGCCTCAGGTTATTAACTTCTTGCCTCAGTTTCCCCGGCTGTGAGATGGGGATGATGAGAGTACCTAGCGCACTGAGTTGTTCTGGAGATGCAGTGAGCTAATTCATGCTTGGGAGAACAGCTGGCCCATGTCAGAGCTCGCTGAGTCTGAGCTGTTTCATTATTTGTTCTGGTGGTATCGTCACTGCGCTGTGGCGGCTGCTCCAGGGGGCTTCCTTTCAGTGGCAGCACTAAAGGGGGCCCCGTAATAGCCCCCAGTCTCTGGCTGCAACCCCATATTTTAAGACGCACAGTGCAGATGCATCAAAGCCCCACCTTCCCAACTCAGCATCCCCCTTGGAGGAATTCTGGGGTGCCCTGGTTTTCAGAGCCTGCCCTGTGGAATGGCTCCCCCATTGACATTCTCCTAGCCTCTCAGTTTATAAAACCCAAACTTCCTAGAAGGTACGTCTTCCATACTCTCTTTTCAGCCAGTATTGTATCCATCAAACATCATATTTGTGACTGCCAAGCTCAACGAAATGATGTGCAGGAAATCTCATGAATTAATAGATGCAGTTGGAAAACTGTCAGACTCACCGGTAGACGGTTTGCAAAGGGAGCAAGTGTCAGAGGGCCCGGGCCTCTGGGAGGGAACCAGCTCTGTGCCAGCAGCCCCGGCTCGTGGAGCCACAGTGACCGGTTGTCAGTAATGATTTGGTGGTCAGGAGGGGATTTGTTTGTTTGTTTGTTTGTTTGCACATCTTGTGGGATCTTATTTCCCCAATCAAGTGTGAAACCTGGGCCAGTAGCAGTGGCACTACTGAGTCTTAACCCCTGGACCACCAGGGAGTTCCCAGGAGGGAATGTTTTAAGCATTGGACCTCCTATCATGATCGTTTATCATGTATAGGGAGAGTGTTAGATACATTTTAGGAAATTATTGGGCAGTCTGAGTTGTTATGTCATGCTTTATAATTTTTCCCACTTGAAATAATGGGAAGTAGACACCAAGTTGATTCTTGGAGTCAGAATGCCTGATTTTTAGGAACAGAGTTACTGATGCTTAATGGGGAAATCTGTGTTTCATTTCAGAAAAGGATCCTGTTATTTAAGAAAACCAAAGGAGTGGTTTAGAAACCACTGTCAAAGTTCATCCCTCTCATTTCAGAGAAATGAGGAAAGCCAGTGTCTGAGGGGGATGAGAAACTTGGCTATCTACCAGATAGTGGACCAGAGCTTTGCCCACTAAAACTGGTTGCTCGCCAGCTGAGGCCAGCTTCCCTTTGCTTCTCTGAGCATCTCCTTGGGGAGTCTTCTAGATGTCACTGGGAGCAATAAAGCCACCATCACCTGACTATCAGCTGAAGATTTCAAAGCCCTTCCTCCTTCACTGTCTCTGGCACCTTGGAAGGTGACCCAGGCGGGGAGGAGGTGACAGAGAGGGCAGGCGCCTTGCTTGTGGACACACAGCTGACACAGTGGATTTCTTCTGTCTTGATTCACGGAGCTGCTTTTTAGAAAATTTTTATTCTTTTAAGAAATTAAAATTTTAAATACATGGTTATCAGAAAAATGAGAGTATACAGAAAAGCAGAAGATTAATTTCACCTGAATCTTTACACCAAAGATAATCATTTTAAATAATATAATAAATTTTTCTAGACTTTTTCTATATATACCCACAGGTTTTTTTTTATTTTAAAAGATGAACTTATACCAGACTTGCTACTTCACTCTTACTCTTTTTGTTTAAGATATATTAAGAACGACTTTTCATATTTTAGGGAAACACCTGCATCTTCATCTTTTCTTTTTCTATGGAATTCCATCTTCTGACTATTAAGCAGTTAGGCTGTTGCTTTTGTTTTTTATTGCTGTTATAAACAACTCTGTCATGGACATCTTTGAAATTTTTGTGTTCTTGCTTGAGAATCTCTTTAGGAGAATTTTTAAGGTTTTTAAATGTCTATCGCCATACTGGCCTCACAGAGCCACTTTTGATATACAATTGAGTTTTTCCATCTCACCACCTACCCACAACACACACACCCATCCATCTATCCATCCAGCTCTCCATCTAGTCAGCCTTCATTGGATTGCTAATTACATACGCATTGAGAAAAATATCTTTTATATATCTGTTCCCATTATTGTTTGTGGCAGTTTACCAAGTTCATTACTTTTTCAAGTCCAGAGATAACGCAAATAGCAGCTAATATTTATTGAAGGCTCACTGTGTGCTGGGCCTTTTGCTGTGCATTTTACTCGCATTATGTCATTTAATCATATTCTTTGAGGCTGTTGCTTTATCTTCATCCTACAGATGAAAGTGAGAAAGGAAGATGCTAAGTCAGTCTCCCCCCTCCCCTGCTAGGCCACACAGCTAGAAAGTGGCAGACCTAGAAAACCCGATGGAGGAAAAGGACAGTTTGTAACTGGACAGTGACTGTGGTGAAGTTGGTTAAATAGACACACCAGAGTTTTCTGTCCCAAGGTTGTCACTTTAGGCAGGTACTTTCTTATCCAGGGCTGCTGCTGTGACCAAAATAATTTCTCATCCCTTCTTCTGTGGCTGCCCCTGCAGCCTACATTTGTTACTTTGTAGACCTTTAAAGGTGTTACCTCTCAGTTTTGATTTGGGTTTTAGTAGACATTGTGAAATCAAGGAAGGTGGCCCTGGGACTGGGTGGGTTAAGAAGGGCAGAGGATTTCAAGCAGGATCAGCCTGGGCCGAGGTGTGGAGGTGGGAGAGCTCTGACATGTTGGGATCCTGGGTATACTAGGATTGGTGGGTCTGCCAGCATGTTGTAAAAAATGAGGGCGGTCGTTGGAGGCAGGGTTGTGGAGGGCCTTGAATGCCAAGGAGAAGGTTTACACTTGGTCTTTTAGATCAGTGGTTCTCAAAGTACAGCCTTTCAGACCAGTAGTAGCGGCAGCAGCAGCACCACCGACCTGGTTAGAAATGCTGAATATTAGGTCCCAACTCAGAGCTGCTGAATCAGAAACTCTGGGAAGGGGCCCTGCCATCTGTTTTAAGGAGCCTTCTAGGTGACTCTGATGCTTGTTGAAGTTTGAGAACTATTGTTGAAGGTAATAGGGACCCAGTGGCAGATTCATGGGGGAGAGACACACATTTAGAAAGAAATCAGGTTTGAGGGGGCAAGAGTGAGAGCACCCAGGCCGACCAGGAAGTGGCCAGAATGGACTAGGCCAGAAGTCCAAGGATGTGAGATGGGAACATCATTGGTCAGAAAAGGGTTTAGAGGAAGGAACATTTGAACTGGATCTTAAGAATGTGTAGGAGTTCTGCAAGGGGTAAGAGAAGGAAGGGCAGTCTGAAGCAGCGTGGACGGAAGTGTGGAAGGGAGGAGTCTCCTTCTCAAATACTAGGTTAAAGGGCACCAACTTTTTGGTGTTTCCTTCTGTGAGATGATTCTTGGCCCCATCTTGTGGCCTGGCTCAGGTCTTCTATGTGGCTCCAGGGGCCAGCTTTTCTGTGTGGGTGTCTTTGACAAAATCAGCCCTGACCCGGAGTCTGCTTTCAGGGGCTGGGCTTTAGGATGAGAAGCTGACTGTTGCCCTCACATCCTGGGTGCCTTGCCGGGCCGTAGCGGTCGGGACGGACTTTTCCCAGGTGGGGCGGAGGTCACTCACCAAACCACCCGACCTGCAATCTGACAAGATTGACTCATTTTCTTCTAGAGTTGGTAATCTTGGCAAAACCCTTCTCGTGGTTTCTTATGATCACTTCTGCTTTTGAATACAAATGGTGGGAGTGTTATTCTAAACTAGCACTATCCAGTAGAGATATAATGCGAGCCACGTGTATAATTTAAAAATTTCTAATTACTGCATTAAAGCAAAAAGAAACTGATGAAATTAAGTAATATAATTTATTTAACATATAAAACATTATCATTCTGACATGTAGTGAATAAAAAAAATATTGATGAGATATTTTAGTTGTTTTCCATTTGAAGTCTTCAAATCTAGTATGTGTGGCACACTTACAGCACATCTCAATTTAGGAGCTACAGTTTCATCAGAAAGGTTTCCTCTGTATTTAGATGTCATGAAATTTCCGGATGAAAAAGTAGATTCCTGTCCTCAGGTTGTTACAATGTTCTTAAAGGTATCCCAATAATAGAGTCAAATATCAGTTTTTAAATTTAAATTAATTAAAAGGGAATGGATTGATACATTCCGTTCTATATTAGCCATGTTTCAAGTGCTCAAGAACCACATGTGGTTCTATCTGGCTCAAGAGCCACATAGTGGCTATTGCATTAGACAGTGTAGACCATGCAACTCTGGATGTATACCTAGGCCTCGCAAATAGGCGAATGCGGGAAACCCTGGGCTGATCTCATGAATTTCCTTTGGTTTATAACTGCCCCTCCCCAGTCCCCACTCCTTGCCCTGACCAGATGTTGATGTCTGGGAAAGCCTTTCAAGGTTTGGATCTCTTTTCCTACACGGGAGTGGGAATGGCATGGTGGTAAATGTTTAACAGTCCGCTCTCTGGAAAGAACAGCCCTAGTTGATATCATCTGCCAGTTTCTGTGGTGTAAATATTCCCATGATCAATTTCAAACTCAAACAAAATGTCACTAACAGAGATGTAGGACCACTCCATGATGAAGTTATTTCTTCCATACAGATATGACAGATTTAAACAACTTCAAGAGAAGAGATAACAGTAGAATGTGCTATAATAATTAGAGAATTGATGAGTTTTGTGTGTTTATCATCTTTGTTCTCTTTAATACAATTTTTAAAATAACAAGGTTACCTAACTTAATTTTAAACATAGATTAT